TCCCCTTCCCCCTCCCCCTCTCCCCCATCTCTCACTCCCTGTTGGTTTCTTCCCCACTGTGTATATTATATTAGGACTAACCCCCAGCTCATCCGGAATCCCTTTGGTCAAGCAAGCAAACAAACAAACGAACAAGCAGACAAATTGTCAACAGAGAAACCTGGAATGCAGCTCTCAGTACTTGTTTGCGCTTTTTCTTTACAATATTATTAAGCAGTCAAAGAAACAAATATTCGAGCAAACAAATTTAATCGAGCAAACAAATAGTCAAGTAAACACATTTAATCGAGCAAACAAATAGTCGGAACAAGTCAGTTAATCTTACTCGTCCTTTCCTTTCCTCGCTCGCTCGTGACTACATTCTGTTCATGAATATGCAAACATACCAATCGTGCGTGGAGTCGCATATTAGCTTTGACAATCTGTTCAAATGTTTTTAAGTCCAGAAAGCAACCGTTACATGTTTTGTTGTTTTTTTTCGGGAGAGAAAAAAATAAACGGTTTCATTCTTTGAAGTGAGTGGTTGGCGGGTGCTCTGGTGTGGTTTGCTCTTTTCTTTTCCCTTTCAAACATCTGTCGTCATTATCTGCTGTCTTCCTTTTTTTTTTTTTTTTACGTATGTTACTCTCCTGTAACACCGTTAGTCTTCGGGACTTATATATGACCTAATTGTGTTGCTAGTGCTGTAAACACTTACTAAAACAAACAACCAAAAATTAATCTTTTAACAATTGAAAATAATTTAGCATCTTTTCTTTTGAATTTTTCCAACATTTAGAATTTGAATTATATCGACAAAGTATTTCTTGAACTCATGCAACCCACACTATAGGTTAAGAAACTGCAGTAAAAAAAAAAATAAAAACAAAACTCTTGTTAATCAAATTTTAAAAATCAAATAAATTATGCGCTAAGTACATTTTGAAAAAGCTGACGGACGATTTATAGATAGAGGCTTTTGCTTTATTTTTTAATTCCTTGATACATTTGTCGGTGGTTGGCGGGTGCTCTGGTGTGGTTTGCTTCTTCTTTCCTATCAAACATCTATCGTCCTTATCTCCTCTTCTTCTTTTTATGTTTGTTACTCTCTTGTAACACCTCTAATCTTCTGGCTCTCATATGGCCTTATACAGTTGCGAGCACCGTAAAACCTCTACTATAACTAAACTAATTGATACATTTTTTGTGTTCGATATGTCTTGTCTTCGATCTCACCCCAACGGCGACTGTTATGTAACGGTTAGTTTGTCTGCTGTCGCAAGCAGAAGATACGAGTTCGATTTAAGAATGGGGAAGCTGGTGTCTTTTATTCTTGGGGGGAGGGGGGGGGAGGTGTTGTTTAGTTTAGCTGTTTGTTTGTTGTTGGTTTTTGTTTGTTTTGTT